TAGGATTTAGGCTAACCTAAGGGATTTTTGGCTATTTTCCAAATAATTTTCTAGGAGTTTTAGGCTATTTTCCTAATTTTCTAGGGATTTTTCTATAATTTTAGTTTTTCTATAGAGGTTTAGGGGGTTTATATAAGACACAATTTGGGTGGTTCGAATGGGGTTAGGGATTATCTAGGTTTATCTTTAAGGTTTAGATTTAGGTTTCAAGGTCAAATCTGCGGACAGAACAGCATCCACAAGGTCCCAAAAGCTTCCAGAAAATCAAAGATACACTCAACAAGAAACACCAGATTTCAAGAGCTAGAGCGTGAAATGACGCATAGTGTGCCGTCGGGCCCAATGGGCCTAACGACAAGCTTCGCATCATAAGGAGCAAACTGGAACTCCTGTCAAACAAACTTGTTTGGGCCATAACTTTCAAACCATATGTCAGATTTGAGCGATTATTGGACCGTTGGAATGCTTGTGGCCTCCTCTATAGTTTAGAATCAAGTTTGGTCCAATTTAATTGAGTTTGAAGGGGTCTATAAGGCTAGGATTTTAGGGTGTCAGTTTTCAGGTTTTTGGGTATCGGATTGGTATTCGGATTAGTCTTTTATGTTTAACAAGCTGAGGGATGTCTAAGATGATAAGTTTGAGGTATAAGATGATTAGTTAGGGGTATTAAGTAGGTTTAAAGTCTAGGTTTTAGCTCTGAAATGATGACTAGGGTACATGGTTACAAGTATCTGGGAATTCCCTTAGCCAAAATTTCAGGTGGGGTGTCTACAATTCCACTCTATGGGCTGTACATTTATTCAGATCATTAGTCATCATATCTTTTCTCACTATTTCCATCCATATCCTTTGGGGCCTTCCCCTTATCCTTTTAGACTATAAGTCACCATACGAAGTACCTTTATTATGGCTAAAACAAAACAAGCATGCAACCATTTCCAATGCTATTAATCAAAAAACAAGGAAATATCCTAATTTTCAAGATGGCAAGGCAGGAATATACATGGTATATTGCACAGGTTTTCACAGCCAAAAACTTATGGTCCAATTTTTTTCTTTTTCTTTTTTAAAATGAGAAAGAAATTGCAGCAAACAGATTATTATGAAGTGATCTTATAGTTAAGATAACATCCTCGTATAACAAATTTTGTGAGAGTAAACAAGCCAAATATTTCTGTGGCTACTATCACATTCAGCTCATATTCATGTTCATATTCATGTTCACTAAATATCAATTTTGTAAATTTGATGCTACACAGTGAAAATTTACAAAATGGTGAAACCATATGGAGAAAGGAACCATAAGGAAGAATAAAATGGAAAACCTAATCCTTTGAGATTAGGGGATGTGAAAATGAATCCTTGACGGAGAGAGGGAGCAGAGATATCCTTTTTGAGAGAGAGTAAGCATGGGGATTTGCAGAGCATGAATCCTTGGCTGGGTAGAGAGGGAGGGATTTTTGTTTGATTGACCTCGGGGTGAGCAAGTGAGCAGAAAATCATGGAGCGAAGGTGATTTGCAGAGCCTTCTAGAGTGATAGATCAAGCAGAGTTTTCCTTCTTAGGAGTGGGGATGGGTCAATAGAGAGGACATTTCTGTTGAGAAAGAAAGCGACAGATCTGGGTGAAAAACACAACTTTTCGGAGTTCTCCTTAACATGGTTTTTTGAAGGAGTGATTTCATTATATTTCTTTGAAATGATGCATAAAATCACTCCCCATGCATAAATCTATGCATGCGTCCATACATACATACGTAAGTTATTGAGTTCATAAATAATACATACATACATACTGTGTGTGTCCTTAAGATAGGGTTGGATCAGAACTCTGCAGTACTAATCCATGTCAAGACAGTGAGATATGGATGTGTCTCAAGAGAATCAGCTGGGTCTCACTGAGATGTGTTGGACTAAGGGCCCCAAGCGAGTCAACTCGAGCAAGTCCTGTGGTTTAAGCATATCATATCCTTTATAATTGTGGTGAATCATTTATTCTAAGGAGTGGGGATGGGTCGGTAGAGAGGGCTTTTCTGTTGAGAAAGAGAGCAACAGATCTGGGTGAAAAACACAACATTTCAGAGTTCTCCTTAACTTGGTTTTTTGAAGGAGTGGTTACATTATATTTCTATGAAATGATGTATGAAATCGCTCCCCATGCATAAATCTATGCATGCGTCCATACATACATACATAAGTTATTAAGTTCATAAATAATACATACGAACATACTCTTTAAGATAGGTTTGGATCAGAACTCTGCAGCACTAATCCATGTCAAGACAGTGAGATATGTATGTGTATCAAGAGAATCAGCTGGATCTCACTGAGATGTGTTGGACTAAGAGCCCCAAGTGAGTCAACTCGAGCTAGTCCTTAGTCGGCTTGCTAAGCTTTAAGCATGTGGTTTAAGCATATCATATCCTTTATAATTGTGGTGCATCATTCATTTTTTGTTTTCCATTTGTTTGTTTATAGCTAGGGGTGCCAATGGGCCAGCTGGCCAAGATCAGGGCTTGGGCCAAGGTCAGCCCTGTTCGGCTCGACCCAACCCTCTTTTTCTATTTCTTTTTTTCCTCTGTTTTTTTTGTACAAATTTATTTGTCCTGGCCCTGATTAGGCTAGGGACGGGCTTGGGCTAGAATCTTTTTAACCCGGTCAGAGCTAGGGCTTGGCCCAGGCCGGCCCCTTGGCATCCCTATTTGTAGCTTAGAAATTCTGTCACATTACCAGAAAAAAGGAAGGGAAAAATAAAGAACAAAAGCAGTGGTTGCCATTTGGCTGTCTACACTTAGAAATTATGCATCACAATAAAAACTCAACCAGAAAGAACAAAGAACATTTTAACTTATAAATTTAGTACAAGAGTACAATACGATCTAGTTTCGGGGTCTAATAGTTTGACACTGGAGGCAGATTCTGAGTATTATATATCGTTTGTGTTTGGACTTCTATTTCATAGATTAGTTGTTTTACCTCTATTTGATTATCTTTCTGAGTGTTCTCCAATCTAAAAATGTATATTTATTTGAGAGTTGAGATTCAAATTTGAGGTTTAAATACTAAATTTCTGGAAATGTGTATTTCACTTGGAGATGTAAATATGTAATTCTATATTTAATTAAGCTGTCACAGGGCTCATGTTGTACTGTGGCCATTTATTTCTGGTATGATGATCGACATTAGTTAACAATACGTTTTTCTAGGAACGAGTCCCTATGCATAGAGATAAACTACAAAACTAATTGTGGCACATAGGAATAGCCTCTCTGTCATTTTTTTCTGTTTATGTTGAAAGTCATGTCTTCATCTGTTTGGGGGAAAGAGAAAAATCACCTCTTATAAAGTATTTGCTGAAAGCATGAGACTTGAAATACTGTGGCCTGCTCCATTGATACTTGCATTGTACACTGTACCTCCTCCCATATATTTTATTGGACCTGCACCAATAGATTATCCTAGTTGACCATCAAGATTACTTTTTTATTTTTTAAAATGTAGTTCAGCAGTGGGATTCTGACCTGGGATCTTGTGCAGCAATTGTCACCATTGTTAACCATTAAGATAGGTCCCCAAACCATCAAGAAAACTTTGACTTCAATGATGCTTACCCGTTTAACTTTTGGTGTTTAAGATTGGCAAACATGAAGCTAATTTACTAATCATAAAAGAGAGCTACAAGCTAGTGAACTAATAATAGGAATACAATACTGCCATACTCTATTATTCAATTAAGGACTTCTCATTCTCTTTCTCATAGCTGGATTAACATGATACCATAAATCACATGCCAATCAAGTGAAGGGACAAATATTTTGATTCATAATACCCATCAATCATTCTCCCTATTTTGAGCTACTGCTTTGCTATGACCAAGTGTCTAATAATCAAGAGGAATGACTTTGGAGAAGATAATGTCATGAAAGTTCTACAGTTCTTGAGCCTGATTATAGAGAGGACCAGCCACTAATAAGGTGCATTCCCCATTTTGAAAAGAAGTTTCACACTCCCATGAAAGGAAACATATCAATCAAAGAACACTCAGAAGTTTTATTTGTCCCATGATTCAAAGTACCTAAAACTCTTATCCAAGAATATGTAAGAAAAAGTGTGGAAGAGCGATCCTGTGGTACCTGGGCTTGCAGATGTTTCCAAGGAGCACACGCAAGAAGAGTCATGGAAGTAGTTCATTGAATCACTTGGTACTTGGATAATGTTGTTTGAAGTTATGCCTATGTGAACTATAGGCATTACGCTGAGAGTATAGATGGGCGGCCATCGATGAATCATTTCTTTTCTTTATTATAATTTAATTTATCATAGAAAGTGCACTTTAAGGACTTGGGTTTGCAGATGTTTCCAAGGAGCACACGCAAGAAGAATCATGAAAGTAGTTCATTGAATCACTTGGTACTTGGATAATGTTGTTTGAAGCTATGCCTATGTGAACTATAGGCATTACGCTGAAAGTATAGATGGACGACCATTGATGAATCATTTTATTCCTTTATTATGATCCAATTTATCATAGAAAGCACACTTAATTACTTCAAAAAAAACAAAATGTTTCAGTAAGTACCCTTGGTGGATTGCTTCCGTTTTTCCTTCTGAGCTATCGGTGTATATGTAGTGGTGGTTGCATTACTTCGTGATGATATTTTTCTCTATTTAGTAACGCATAAGTAGCATTGATGAGGAAGAACCTAATTTCCCAGGATTTGGGACACTGGCTTGCGCATATTGTAGATTGAATTCTACAATAGTTCAAATCCTTAGTTTTACCCACTTCTTTAGGACATTTTTAATCTTGCTAGCAATGAAATGGAATGGGTTGATTGTTGGTGAACCAACCAACCCTTCCCTCAATGCAACATAGTTTCCAACAAAATCTTGCATACCAGTTTTCCAAAACTTTTCAGATTCTTGAAATTTATCTTCCACACAACATTTTTTTCACTGGATGTTTCAGTGTTCATTGTCTGATCTTTTTATATATAATAGGGAGTGCCCTAAAGAATTGCAGGAAGCAATTGCCAGCATAATCTTTGCTGCTCCCAGATGTTCAGATTTGCCTGAGCTTATGCACATTCAGAACTTGTTTACTGCCAAATATGGCAAGGAATTTACTTCTGCTGCTTCTGAGCTTCGCCCAGACAGTGGTGTGAATCGTGGGGTATGTCATTCTCCCCCCTTCCGCCTTCCCCCCCGTCTCCCACTCCGCTATCTCTCTCAGACGATAGTTAATTATGAAGTGCATTCTACTGTATAGATAATTGAGAAACTCTCAGTGACCGCCCCTGCCGCTGAACTGAAGCTCAAGATTCTCAAAGAAATAGCTGAAGAGAACAATTTGGAGTGGGACTCTTCTAGCACCGAGGCAGAATTCTCAAAAAAACATGAAGACTTATTGGTCTGTGCTTTGCAAGTGTGTGTGACTAATGTGCTTCAATAGAAACGCTAGGTGTATGTTAAAAAATTGGCTCTTTTCTTCTGTCCATCAAGGGCATATACGGACTAAACTAGTGTGATACAACATTTTTTCTCTCAAATCTGAAAGCCCTTTTTTGTATTTGTATTGTAGGATGGTTCGAACCATGTGCGCAACAAAGCTCAAGATACAATTTTAACTTTTTCCTCACAAAAAGAGGGAGAGTCTCCTCATTCCATCGTGGAAAAGGTACAGAAAGTGGCTAGAGCCAATTCTCCAATTGAAACTGATTTGAGTGCATTGAGTAAGAGCGTGTTAATGGGTCAAAGTAGATCAGAAAGCTTGGAGATCAAACATGAACAAGAGGACTCTAATGGTGTTTTTAAGAGAGAGAAGATTGGCAATTCTTTAGATATTTTGGCAAAGGCTCAGGCTGCAATTGCTTCAGCAGAGAGAGCAAGAGCAGCTGCTCGAGCAGCTGCAGAGCTTGTTAATGTGAAGATGGTTATAAATCCTGCAAGTTGTACCTTCTCAAGATCAGGAGAGAATGGTTCACAGAATATACAGGAAACACAACGAAGAAATTAAAAAAAAAGAAAGAAAAAGGCTTTATGAGTGACCGACTGTAGCAAGGAGAACCAGACTCTCAGGTTGGTTAGGCTTGGGATTTGGTGTTTGGCCATTTTTTGGGGATGGTTTTGTATCATTCACATATGTCTTATCAGATGAGGATTATTTATGATTTCGAGGTTCTAGTGTATGTTGAGTTGAGGATTGCACTTATAGATATTTGAGCAGTTTGTTGAGGTTGCCATACTCTTCATGGTGGGGCACGAATAAGCAATAGATGAAAAGTTTTAGAAACAGAGAAATCTCCGGGAGCTCTTGCAATAATTTGGTTTATTTGATTTTGGAATTGATTCGAGACTAATTATATACTTGTGTGAGTGCATAAACATATACGCATGCAGTGATTTCACCAGACTGTTTTCTATATAAATATAATGAAATTGTCCTTAAAAAAATGAAAACTGTGCTAGGGGCATCTGTTTCACTCATTTGACTTTTTTATCGAGGCTCTTTTCATCCTGCAGAGAATCCTTATGGAAAATATAAAAAACAGACCTTAAAAAGTGTTTTTTGTATTTTAGAAAGGATCATTTCTGAAGTAATTACATTTATTTTTCAGAGATATCTCACGACGCATGTTTTCCAAAACATAGATATCGTAAGGATTATGGTAGGAAAAAAATTGTAGTTTCAAGATGTTTGTATTTGGAATATATCATGATACGAACGCATGGCATCATGGTTCCGAACATATGCTGATTGTACTTGGGACCCTCGAGTTTATACGCGGAGTGGTGGCCAGCCTGTCCAAGTTCCATTCAAATTTATTTATTGATTTATTTATTTTATTTTTATGATGAGTTAATATTTCTAATCCTTGTTTAAATATTTTTAAAGTTTTAATCTTGTTTAAATGTTTTTAATTTTTAAATATGGCCAAGTGGGCTGAGCCGAGTTGTAAACTTGGCCGGTTCAACTTAGAACCTAGGATGAAAGAGAAAGAAAAAGATAAGTAAATGTATTTGTTGAGACCATTTATTTTTGATGTAAAGAAGTCATAATTATTATTAACTGTTAGATTTAAAATTCGGTGATTAAAGATGTGTCATTGTATGAGCACAAAGTCCAACATAAAATTTCTTGAATGTTGTGAGTCACTTTTATTTACTGGATTTTTCATCTAATAGTTAAAAGTGATTATGACTTCCTTATATTAAAAATAAATAGTCTTATAATGTATAATGCCAAAAGACAATTCATCATTGGGATAGAAGTACCTATGGGTTATGTTATTTTTATTTATAGTATATTATTATTTTCTTCTTGCTATTGTGCTATTGAATTGTAGCATATTTTTATAGGTGCAGTTTCTATACGGATGCATTCATAGGTGTAGAGGTAAGGTCCTGCTTCAAATTTTATAATGGTATATAATTTTGATGTAAACTGTTCTTAAGATTATCTCAAAATCTATATTTATATCTAAGTATAAAATTTTAAATTTCAAAAGTGGTTAAATCAAGTCGATCTATAAACATATGAAAATCTTGAAAATGGACATTGTACTATTTTTTAGATTTAAAATCTTTTTATTTTTCATGATCATACATCTCGATGTCGAGATGATCAATCAAAAGGTTTTTCATCATTAAAATAAACTTTTCCGATGGATTTTTTAGGTGCATCTGTAGCTGTAGAGGTTGTAACCTTATATAAATTTTTTCCTATTTTTATTCTAAATATCAAAAACTTTGCTTTTGCTCCTACATACTTTTGGGGTCGCAACTGGTCAAATTGTGTCCAGGTCGACCTCGACTCGACTAGGTTCCACTTGGACCTGGACCTGGACCTGTTTTGGAAATTGAAAAAAATAAAAAATTAGTTTGTATATTATAAAATATATATATATTATGCTATATATCTTATGTATTTTATACCAGATTGGGCTGATCCCACCCCTGACACAACTTGACCTGATAGGGTTCAAGCTGGACCTAAAATGTGGACCGGACCCAGACAAAGTTCAGGTCGCCCAACCCGATTGCCACCCCTAGCATACTTAAATGGTGTTAGAACAGGTTTGGACACTTAGATTTAAATGGTCAAGGGTCAATTATACGTTCTTATCCTTCAAAATTTCCAAACAAAGTCAGTTGCTGCATAAAATTTTGCGTTACTAAGAAGTATATAAAGATATCATTTGTTTTTAGTAGAAGGATGTCACAATTACTCTTATCCACTAGATTTAAAATTTGAGTGGTAGTATGTTATTGACCAGCTTCAAAATTCAAAATTCAAAATTCAAAATTCAAAATTCAAAATTCAAAATTCAAAATTCAAAATTCAAAATTAAAAAAAAAAAAGTTAAAAAAAAAGGAAACACAGTTGTAATAATATTCAAAAGTTGTGATTGATAATGGCAATATTCATTTACCCCAAAAAAAAAAGCATGGCAAGGTCCCATATTTTCCCTTCAATCAATTCATAATTCATTTGTAGCACGGTCACACATTTTCTCTTCAATCAATTGATAATCCATTTGTAGTACGGTCACAAGTATGGAGAACGGTTAAAACAAGGCCTAGATGCAAAAAAGTTGAACCTCACCTCGAAACTTATCCAAAATTGTAGTTCTGGTATCAAGAGACCTTCAAATTGATCATGTCTCCGTTGACCATTATGGTTTTGTGAAAGAAATTAAGATTTCAATATCTAAAAATAATGTATATTGGAACACATCCTCTAGACCGTCTTTTTTCAGTCTTTACATATCCATAAGATGCGTACTATTTTTTAAACTTTAAATTCCGCAGTCGGTGATAAAAATTGATTTTAGAATCACCATACATATTTCTAATGCCCAAAGCATTTTCCTAATGAGTTTTCAGTGTGAGCTTTGCTTTTTTTTTATGAAGCCTAGACCTAGGTCTTATAAAAATTGCATCCCACAATTATTGCTCTGAGTACTTTCTTACGATCCACGAAAGCATCTATAGCTTTTAATATTTTGCTATTTTTTTAAACTATTTTAACCTGGGGGAGTTTGCTGTACACCTCAGTAGCATGGCATGTAGTAGAAGTGCCATCATCTAATGCATATATTTTTAGTTATTTTTCAGACTTTTACAAACATTGTTTTTGAAAAAGAAAAAGTTTATATAAGGTTGCAATCTTATATTATAGAAGTGCACTTCAAAAATCCAATAGAAAACAGTGTTTCGAAATTAGAAAACCTTTCAATTAAAAATCTCAACCTCAAGATGTATGGATGTATAAAAAAAAAATTGAATTTCAAATCGTAAAAATAGTAAAATTTATCTGAACCATCTATTTTCAAGATTTTCAAATGTTTATATATTTTAAAATTTTAAATTTGATAAATAAAGTTTAATATAGACTTTCAGGACATCATTAGGTTTCTGTACTAAAACTACATATTGTAATAAAATTAAGAAATGCGCCTTACTCTATATTATGAGTTCGACAAAATATAAAACATGATGAGTAGCCAAGTGTCAGCGAGGAAACCCACATCAGGTTTGGAGTTTGGCTTGGATGTTGCTTTATATAGTGCGTACGATTCTTTGTTTAGCTCCGTGGGTCACCAACCCTACAGTTCCCTCACATATTATATGAGGCCTCAACTAAAAGCTGCATCACATTCTTTTAAATAATTTTTAATATTTTTATTTTCAAATACTCATTATCATACATAAGAATAGAATTTCTTTTAAATCCATAAATGCTATCACGATGGATCATAAATACAATGTGCTTCTAGATAAATCACTATATAAGATCACAAAAGCTAACATTATATACCTAAATCGTACCCACAAAGTTATTTTCTTTCTCCCAAAATAACCAATATTTTTTCACTAAAAGACAATATACTCTTTTATAATAGAGTACATTTCGTAAATTATATAAACTATTACAAGGAACACAATCAAATTGATTTTTATAAGAAAGAATTATTTTTTAAAAAATTAAGATCATATAAATTATATTTTATTTTAATGAGCATAAATTCAAGTAAAAGGGCAAAGAATAAAAAAGTTATTAATCTCAATAAAATTATAATTATATAATAAATTTATATTTATATAATGCATTTAATAAATAATAATTCAATTTATAAGTATTTCTAATAACAAAGAGGTATATAATATTTTGTTTAAAATAAACATTATAATGTTATTTCAAATTAATTGTCTTTTATTTTTATATATTAACTTGAATAATCAAAATGGCATCAAAATGTAATTTAACTCTCTTATAAATTTCGAATTTTTACTAGAAATTAAAATTTTTATTTTGGTATAATAAAATTATATTTTGGCTTTGAGAAAAATATTTCTTAAATTATAGGATTAAAATCATGCTTTTTTGAACCAGTTTTGCTTATAATTATTTTTTGAATAGCATTATTAAAAGGGCAAGCTTTTTATGCTTCACCTACAGCATAAAACTTATATACTTCCCTTTATCCAACCGTCCATTTTGAATAGAGCTAAGATTGCCCCAATCACAATGTCACGTCTCTACACTATTTTATTTTTAATTTTTTTTATAAATTATTTTGATACCAAATTTTGGACGTCCAATCCTCTATTAAACTTGCACTAGTAAAAATATATAAGAACAATATTTCTAGTAAATAAAATGACCAAAATACCCCCAAAAGTTTCAAAAGGTATTTTGGTCATTATATTTTTTCAAAAAATTATTTTTAATATGTTTTATTGGTGCACCCCAATAAGAAGATAACACATACCAAATTCCATATTCATACAATTTGTATAAAAAAAACTAAAAATAAAATACTTTAAAACTTTGGATCTAAGATCAAACGGTGAGTGACTCTCTTGATCAAAATTGGACGGCTGGATGGTAGGGGAAGGATAGATCTTTTATGCTGTAGGAAAAGTATAGAAACCTTTCCCTTATTAAAATAGGTAATAATGAGTGATAATTTTTTCAATAATGAATAAGTTTTTCAATACTTTTTCAATTAAAGATTTTGATAGTTATCTATCTATTTTTTTTGATGTACTTATAATTGCCTTTCAATTAAAGATTTTGATAGTTATCTATCTATTTTTTTTGATGTACTTATAATTGCCTTACACCAAGAACACGCCACTGACCTAAATGCAGTTAACCGCGTGAATCAAAAGTAAAAAAAAAAAAATGAATATTAGAAAAATAATTAAAAATATAAACAACATAACTATATACATGGGGATTTGATTAATACATTCCTTGGTTTTTTTAATCTAGTAATTGAAAGACTCGAGCCATGGGTCAA